TACACACTCACGTCAGTGATCCGCATCACTTAATATTGTTAATGAAGTATTTCGATTTTGTTTAAATTGACAGTCCATAATCATAACCTTCATTTTTCTGATCGTTTTTTCACTGCGCCTCTTAGTTGGCTTACATTCTTTTGTATATTTGCGAACACTGTCACTGAGGATACATAACCTCTAAATTTTGGTATTTGCATTGGACCAATTGTAGATTTTCACTAAATCACTACGCATAAGCGATTCAACTCCGTATAATATTGCACATTTTTTACCATATATATTTGCTACGTACTTTGCACTCATCGAAGTGGTCACTCTGTTTATTAAAATTTGCTGCGTACGTTGCACACATCACGATTTTACCACGTATATTATTTACACCTTATTGCGTACCTTGCATAGCTTATCAAAGCGCGTAGATATTAGTCAGCACAGTTGGGTGGCGAGTCGTTAGTAAACAATAATTCTAGAAGAAAAAGGTTTACATTTTAATAAAGTGTCGAATATATTTCGCAATACAAACTATTTTGCATCTTTTTAATTCGTTGGATTTCTGGTATACATTTAAGTGGCAAGTTCCGGTGGGTTAAAAATTGGCAACTTCTCTTGCGCATACAACCTCTAATCTTCGATAAGATTAAGTGTGTAAAATCCTATAGATTCTATCTGGGCATTACAGTTAATACTTCGGTCAGGGTAAACACGTTAAACAATGGATTCGTATATTCTTTTGGCAGAAGCTGTAACAGAGTTTGAATCTGATTACAACGGCATACCCGCCGCAGAACAAAACAAACATGGTCTTGCTATTCAACAAGACGAGTTAAAAGCTTTGTGGGAAAAAACAAAGTCAGCTTACGATAAGCTTATCAATGAGGGATTGTCTAAGGATGATGCTAAGGCCATAAAAAAGAAGAATAAGATTTCCTTTCAAAGCTATGTTAGGTGCATGTCTGCTATTGGTTCTCAGGTTGAAATTCTAACCAAAGTGAACAAAGATGTATAGGATCGGTCCGTCCGAGAACACAATATCCACCTGCCACCGTGCGATACAGATGTGTTCAAGGGCGACTATCTCTCATGGCCAACTTTCCGAGATATGTTCACGGCCATCTACATCCTGAACAAGCGCCTCACCCCAGTTGAGAAACTAGTTCACCTCAACAATAAAACACAAGGGGAGGCAAAAGACATAGTGCGAAAGTGCCCACTTACCCATGAAGGCTTTTCGACAGCCTGGAAAAACCTGTGTGAGCGATACGAAAACAAACGTATCTTAGTTAACACACAATTAAAAGTTTTATTTAGCTTAAGTACAGTGGAATCTGAGTGTGGTAGCTCAATTAAAAACCTACAGCGCGAGATTAATAATTGTTTATCGTCCCTAAAAAGTCATCAAATTGACATCTCTAATTGGGACGCAATTACTATATATTTGTGTTCAACGAAGCTTCCAGAAAGTACACTGGCCCTATGGGAACAGACCATAGACCAGAAAACTGACATTCCAAAGTGGGAGGATATGGACAGGTTCCTATCCAATAGATTTCAAACTTTGGAAACTCTAGCGGGGCTAAAGGGTACAACAACGGTGAAAGCTCCAAAGCACCAACCCGCACGGCACCACCAGGAAGCTAACACTAAAAGGCTAGGAGCCTTTCAGGCAAGCGTGAGCAAGTTCACCTGCCAAATGTGCCAAACTAATGAGCACAAGTTACGCAACTGTCCACAATTCCTCAACAAAACACCTGCTGATGGAATCGATTTTTTGAAAAGGAAAAAATGGTGCCTGAACTGTCTTAGTACTGGACATACCGTGTCAAGATGCACAAACCCATTTAATTGTATAAAGTGCCACTCGCGACACAACACGCTCCTTCATATTGAGACAGCTCAAACAAAGGCAACGACACTTGGGACCTCTTTGGATTCTGCGACTAATTCTGCATCAACATCCAATCAGGCCCAAGCCAAACGCAATTCAACAAAGTCAAACAAGCATACAAGCAAAAACGTGAAGTCTTGCTATGCGAATACAAACACAGGTGTGTTATTAGGGACAGCACGCGTCAACATTTATCTCAATGGTACGAACTATTCCGCTAGAGCACTTATTGATTCTGGTTCAGAGTGTTCTTTCATCACTGAAAGACTAAAACGCAGAATTCGCCTGCCATCAAAGCGTATGCATGCCCAAGTTTCGGGCATCACTAATACAACTACGGCGCAGGTTAAAGAAGCGTGCAACATCGAATTGCGGTCTTCTGTTGACCCATTATTCCGCTTGAATACCTCAGTGCTCGTGCTAGCACCACTGACTGGAAATCTTCCTACTTGCCACATTAGTGCAGTGACTAAGCAAGCATTTCCAGATCTGATTCTAGCGGATAAACGATTTTTCGTCAATGAACCCGTAGACCTTGTTCTGGGTGGCGACATATATCCACAAATTATTCTGAGCGGGCTTAAGAAGAACATATTAAACACACTCCTAGCCCAAGAAACAGTATTTGGCTGGATAATAACGGGGCGAACTGATACCACGAATCCAGGAACGAATATCGTCTCATACTACAGCGAAGTTAGTCTGGACAAGCAACTGAACAAGAGCCTTAATGAAGACGACAAGTACTGCGAGGAGCTGTATCAGAAGACAACCATACGAAATAATGAAGGAAAATACATCGTGTCACTACCACTTAGGAAAGATTTTCCAGGAAATATTTCCCTAGGCCCATCCCTTAAAAGAGCATGTTCTCAATTTTACCGGAATGAGACACGGCTGGCCAAGGATCCCGTCATGCAAACGGAATACAATAGGGTTCTAGCGGAATATGAAACGCTTGGGCATATGTCAAAAATAACAAATCCCATACCCGCAGACTCGTCTGATAATTATTTTCTGCCGCACCACGCTGTTATAAAGGCAGAAAGTACTTCAACAAAAGTACGCGTGGTGTTCAATGCCTCAAGCCCAACGGCGAATGGCAACAGCCTAAATGACGTACTTTTCCCAGGACCAGTACTTCAGGCTGATCTTCCGATATTAATACTCCGTTGGAGACTATACAAATATGTGTTCAACAGTGACATCGAGAAGATGTATAGGCAAATTCTGGTACATAACAACCATACTAAGTATCAGAGGATTATTTTTCGCACTAACCCGAATGACCCGATCAGTCTGTACGAATTAAAGACTGTCACGTTCGGCATCAATTGTGCTCCTTATCTGGCGATAAGGACACTTTTACAATTAGCTGACGATGTGCAAAGCTCCCATCCAATAGCATCTAACATACTACGAAAATGCATGTATGTCGACGATGTATTGTCTGGTGGACACACTATCGATTCAGCAATAAAAGCCAGAGATGAGATATCGGAAGTGTTGCAATCAGCCGGTTTTCCACTTCGAAAGTGGACAGCCAATAGCGAGCAAATACTTAATGGCATACCAAAAACAGATCTACTTAGCAAAGATTTTTTGGCATTTGAAGATACCAGCGCAGTCAAGGCTCTTGGAATAAGATGGAATGCCCATACGGATCTTTTCTATTTTATAGCAAGGCCATTGGAGAAAAGCGATGCTGTTACGAAAAGAGCGATACTATCTGCCATTGCTAAACTCTTCGATCCGCTGGGGTGGCTTGCGCCTATCATAATCGTAGCCAAAATCCTTATGCAAAATATTTGGCTGGAAGGCACAGATTGGGATGAGACTGTGTCTTCGACCACTCTAGACCGATGGCAGAATTTCACCCAACATTATAACGAGATTGATAATATTCGTATACCGCGATGGGTATACTTTTCTCCAACGGATGAAATACAAATACACGGATTCTGTGACGCGTCGGAGAAAGCATATGCCGCCTCTGTATATATGCGTGTCAAAAGAGATAGCAAAGTTTTTATTAACCTGCTTTTGGCAAAAACCAGAGTTGCTCCTGTTAAAACCATATCGCTACCCCGACTGGAACTTTGCGGAGCGGTACTATTGGCGGAAATAGTTGATTCAATAATCAACAATCTCAACTTAGGGCATATCAACATACATCTGTGGACCGATTCCACAATTGTTCTCGCTTGGATTCGCAAGCCTCCGTGTTCATGGTCAACTTTCGTTGCCCATAGAATCACAAAAATTGTAGAGAAAGTCGGAAACAAGAATTGGCTGCATGTGGATTCGGCATCAAATCCAGCAGACTTAGCGAGCAGAGGACTTCCAGCATATGAATTGGTCAACAATTCGTTGTGGTGGCAGGGACCTTCTTGGTTACAAGAAGATAACCCAAAATGGCCCACCCAGGAAACAGACTACAGCACAGTAGTTGAGGAAAAAAGAACGTACGTTTATACAACCAAAGTAAATTATACCGATATTCTTGACCGTTTTTCAGATTTTCCGAGAGCTTTGAGAGTATTATCATATGTTATGAGATTCTCTCAAAGAACGCATCGAAATACGAAAGCTTCATTTCAAGAAAAGTCACGCTTAATTTCATCCCATGAAATTAAAGCAACGACACAACGCTTGATAAAAATATATCAACAGGACTATTATAGTGAAGAATACAGGAAACTTAAAGCAGGAAACTCCATCGACTCCAAGAGTGAACTCCTACCGCTTAATCCGTTCATAGATAAAGATGGCATTATTAGGGCTGGTGGGCGTCTAGGAGCGTCTCAAGACTTAGCGTATAACGAGCGGCATCCAATAATTATTCCTTATAACTGCAGGTTGTCCCGTCTAATAGTGTCCTTTATTCACCAAGTCTCTTTGCATGGGGAAAATCAACTCATGCTTCGCCTTATCCGAACTCAGTATTGGATCCCCAGAGTTAAAAATCTGATCAAATCCACAATCCATAATTGCAAAGTCTGTACGATATACAAAAAACGTACGCAAACCCAGCTTATGGGAATTCTCCCTCAGGAGAGAACCACATTTTCGCGCGCGTTTACGAATACAGGAGTAGATTTTTCAGGACCATTTGACATCAAAAGTTATAGCGGCCGAGGTTGTCGAATGTCCAAAGGATACGTTTGCCTTTTTGTCTGTTTTTCGACAAAAGCGATCCATTTGGAAGCAACTAGTGACCTCAGCACTCCATCATTTTTAGCTGCATTCGCCAGGTTTGTAGCCAGAAGAGGATGCCCGAAGAACATATATTCCGACAATGGTACAAACTTCGTCGGAGCTTCACGATCTTTACGATCTGAATTTAAGGCATTTTTAGCAGATTCGCGTGAAAAAACAGTTTCGAAATACAATCATCAAATGCTAACATGGCATTTCATACCCGCCGCTGCTCCTCATATGGGCGGCTTATGGGAGGCGGGGGTAAAAAGCTTTAAAAGCCACTTTAAAAAGATTGCATCCGTTCATAAGTATACATTCGAAGAGTTCAGTACTCTTTTATGTCGGATTGAGGCGTGCCTCAACTCACGACCATTGAGCCCCGCTTCGAATGAACCTACCGACCTGGAGCCTCTCACTCCAGATCACTTTCTTACCGGTGGACACCTGCTAGCCCCACCTGAAATCGACGTTCACGAGAATCCTGCCTCGATAGTAAATCGGTGGCAGAAGCTAAAGGCCCTTCACCAAACTTTTTGTAAACGATGGAAAACCGAATATTTATCCGAACTGCAAAAGCGGATTAAGTGGAAATATCCACAGCAAAATATAAAATTAGGAGATCTCGTTGTCATCAAGGAAGACAACCTCCCGTCAAATGAGTGGAGATTAGGTCGAATTATCAGCCTACATCCTGGTCCCGACGATCGAGTACGCGTAGTTGACATCATCACGGAAAAAGGGCAGATTACGAGACCGCTGGCCAAACTGGTCCTACTTCCATCCCAAAATCAAGAAACCGAGGAGCCAGCAAGCACTTCGTAAATAAACCCTCTCCGTTGATCCCCAATCCCGCGTGAATTCCACTTCCTCATCGCACAAAAATTCCACTTCTATGCATTCGGAAGGATTCAACGCCTATAATCAAGTTTAACCCAGAGCAATATTAAAGGTAGTCGTGTTTTAGTTAGATTTTGGTGATGGTTCTTAGCCCGGCCTCTCCGGGTAGATCTGGGTATAAAGAACCGACCATCGTTAGATCTTGTAAGCATAGAATCGGGTAAAAATAAGACAGACCCAGCTTGATGAATCGGGTAAAAATAAGACAGACCAAGCTTGATGAACAATTGTTTCAGAAATACGAAATTGGTAACGAGGTGCGAATTATCAATTAAAATCCTCCAAAAAATATAATAATAAGCGAAATAAGTTGAAAGTCGTTACAATTGTTCATTATGCTTGCTCGTTTTTCAACACAACTAGGTCTGATGGGAAGCGAATACATTTTACTTGACAGGTTTCGATAATCGTCAGTCAACCCATTAGACCAAATGAGTTCGCCTCAATTGTCAAAACCTACCAGCAAAGACTATAGTTCAAAAAAAAAAAAAAAAAATATCTATACATACATATGCATATATTTTAAAGGGATATGTCTAACTCACCCATTTTTCCGGCATTAGTTCCGTTATGTGCGCCAGTTCCGCTCGTAGGTATTAGTCCTTTGTGTATTAGTAAACTTGCAGTTTCCACCTCCACCAATATGAGAATTATTGTTGTTATAATCATTAGTGCAGTGGCAGCTGCATAATTTTGGTTGTCTTCTTTATCGGCATCACCTGCGGTTATTCCTGGTTCATAATCCGATGACTTACCATTGTGCGATATGGGTGTACAATGGTTACGATCTTGAGCGATTTGGCCATTGAGTTGGAAGCGATAATTGTAATGACGGGTTAGACGCACCGAGCTATACTTTTGCATATGACGCTGAAAGCGATATGGCAATTGGTTTATATTTTCGGGGATAGATATTGTTCAATTTTGAGTGAGTCACATCTTATAAACAACATTAATTAGAATAATGTACAGCGCACCCCCAACTTAAAACAGTAAAGTGCCCATGCCACCCATCTCCGATTGCTCCTTAACGAAGATTTCGAAGTACTGATAGATGATGGTTACAGCCAGCAGAATACCTGTACCTGAATCAACGGCACCCAAAAAGTCAGCCATAACAGATAACGCGCCAATGCAGCCACCACCAACATCAAGCCCAAGTATCCAACAAATGTGACAACGAATACAATCTTGGCAATTTTGCAATTCGTGCTTTAAATGCAGCCTGCACAGCTTTTAAAAACGGAGTGGTACCATATTCTTGCTGAGCCAATGCACAAGATGGCGATACTGACGGGTATTCCTCTGGAATAGTTACAGTAATTGGTGGTACGCATGGTAAACGTTTGTTATCGAGACAACAAATCACTTTTATAGATTTTGGATTATTTTGAGCTGTGCTGTCAAGCATAAGTTTAAACTTTTGATCTAATCGTGCTACTTCGCCTTGAAGTAGATGAGGAACTTCGCATTCGTATTGAGACGATTTCTCACACGTACGCCATATTTTCGGCCCAATGCATCAAGGCAATGTTGTTGGTGGACCACAAGGTCAACAGGGTGGTGCAATGCCCCAAAATGCTGGCCAGCAAAGTGGTATCAGCCAAATGATAGGTATTTCCCAGAATATGCAACAGAAGGTAAATATGCCAATAGGTCAGGGTGGCCAGATGTTTCAGGTTAATCGTGGTGTTCCGGGTCAGTAGCAGCAGTTCTTACGGCAAAGTCCTTCACCAAGTACTGTGCCATCTGCCACTGGTATGTCGGCTGCACAACAGCAATTACAACAGCAGCAGGCTGCACAAAATCAACAGCAACAACAGCAGACTCAAATGTCTAATGCGCAGATGATTCCAAGCCCTGCATTAGTACCCACATCCAGCCCACAAATGTCAAACCTCATGCAGAGTACAAAAAGGCAGATGCGTCAATCACCAAGTACGCAGCTTAACACGCCTGGTCAGGTGGCAAGCAGTAGTCCTTTTAATCCGCAAGAAGATCATTTGTATCGCGAAAAATACAAACAGCTGACAAAGTATATTGATCCACTAAAGCGGATGGTGGCCAAAATTGGTACTGATGGAGCGAATACTGAAAAACATACAAAAATGAGCAAATTACTGGAGATCTTGAGTAATCCAAACCAGCGTGTACCTTTAGAAACTCTGTTGAAATGCGAGAAGGCGCTAGAAAAACTAGATATCGTTAATTTCTCTGGGCAACAATTCGGAAAATCATCTAACCCATTGATGGAAGTGGTAAATACTACGCTCCAAAGTCCACTTGCCAATCACACGCTTTATCGAACATATCGTCCTAGTTTGGAGTTACTTTTCGGTACTGATATTTGCGCTCCTGCACCAGCATTTGTACCCATAGGACCAGCAGCGTTCAAACGTGCGTTCATCATTTGATTTAATTGCTGATGGTTCATGCTGATTTGCGCCATTTGCTGTTGACCCATTTGTTGAATCTGCTGTACATTCATAGCATTCACGTTCATTGGCCCTCCCGGGATCTGCCCTGGACCTAACTGCATTTGTTGGAGAGACCCACCAGGGCCACCAGAACTGCTAATTTGATTCATGTGACCCGACATCCCACCCATTTGCTGCGCATTACCAACCATATGCGGCTGTTGTCCTGCACCTGTGTTACCTATACTACCACCGCCCCCAATAACATTCATTTGCATTTCTCCACCCATTTGTTGCATCATTTGTTGGTTTGGACCAGCAGCCATTGGCATTTGTCCACGTATGCTCTGCAATTGCTGCATCTGCTGTCCCGGTCTTTGTTGGTTAAGAGTTTGTAGCAAGTTGGATGCAGCCACAGGGCCACCCGGACCCATTTGATTGGGATTGGGACCACCAGGCATTTGCGCATTTCGATGGCTTGATAACTTCGAGGAATTTTATTCCCATCGTGGCGGTTTATTTCCGTGCGTATCTAATTAAACGAATGCAGTTTTCCACGAAAATGCACAGAAGTTAAACTTTCTAATTCGCACACCAACGAGAGTAAACACACGTCCACCGCAATAAAAATCTCTGAAAATCGAAAAAGATTAATAAGAACAAAAGCATGCAATTTCGCATGCATACTCACCCAACCGTTCCAGCAAACTTACGTAATGGCCGCGTGGTAGTAAAATTTTAGACAATGACATTTATGCATTGTATGTATGTATGTATGTGATTACGTTCCACATCAGGAATAAACCTAGCGCCGTTCTCCATTCATATTGGAGAATAGCTATGTTTCTTTACGGACAATTAACACTAACCCTAACTAGCTGCTGCTAGTTTTGCATGGTGACCGTTCGTAGACAATAAATTTAATTGCTGTTGTCATACAATTGGGGATTTTAAATGTAAAACCAATGCAAAGTCACTGGGTACCACAAAATGT